GGGCTGAAGGCAATAGCGGGCTGCGCGTAAATTTCAGCTGGAGTTGGATCTGGATTGGGCCCAGATAAGATGTTATGGCTCAACAGCATTGATTGGCCCAAAAGCAAATTGCTTGCCTGCTGCCCTACTTGGTTTGTTCTGAGTTTGGAGCTCTGACCGGTCAACAGAGAGAGGTTTGCGGCGGCGGGCTGCGACTCCAGCAAGGGATGTTCCGGCGACGGGGGAACCGACCCAAGGGATGATGACGGCTCATAGGATCCATATTTTCCACTACCCGCTCGATCCTTTCCGGTGGAAATGGGTATCTGTTCGTTACTGTTGTTGATTTTTTTCGACCTATGATTTTGAGAACCGATCTCCGAAACTGTAGCAATGTTCACCGAAATATCTCCTTCTGCTTGTGATTTGGACGGAATATGAGACATGGCTGGACTGAAATGAAGGTTGAGCTGGTATGGAAAAAAGGGGGGAAATAGGAAGGAATAGAAAAAAGATAAAGAAACAGCTGCGAAAAGGAAAGATGAGGAGGGGGGGTCCGGCGGCCAGGGGGCCGCCGGCGGCGGAAGCGGGTAGCGGAGGAGGCTAGCCGGCGGAGGTGACCGGTGGGGAAGGAGGTAACGGGCGGCGGGTGGAGGTGAGGAGGGTAGGGTTTAGAGAGAGAAAGCTAGAGAGAGGTGAGAGCATTTTTTTTTTTAACTTGCATATAATGCTGTTAGGTTGTCTTAAGCTGTTAGGTTAGTTCTCTGATGGTTCTAGGTTACTAGTTGCTAGGTTAGTTGTATCTTGCTGCTAAGTTAGTTATATAATGCTGCTAGGTTAGTTGTATCTTATTGCTAGGTTAGTTATTTATGCTGCTAGGTTAGTTGTATCTTATTGCTAGGTTAGTTGTATCTTACTGCTAGGTTAGTTGTCTTAAGCTGTTAGGTTAGTTCTCTGATGGTTCTAGGTTACTAGTTGCTAGGTTAGTTGTATCTTGCTGCTAAGTTAGTTATATAATGCTGCTAGGTTAGTTGTATCTTATTGCTAGGTTAGTTATTTATGCTGCTAGGTTAGTTCTTTGATGGTGCTAGGTTATTAGTTGCTATGTTAGTTGCATCTTGCTGCTAAGTTTAACTATATAATGCTGCTAGGTTAGTTGTACCTTATTGTTAGGATAGTTCTCTGATGGTGCTAGGTTACTAGTTGTTAGGTTAGTTGTATCTTGCTGCTAAGTTAGTTATATAATGCTGCTAGGTTAGTTGTATTTTACTGCTAGGTTAGTTGTCTTAAGCTGCTAGATTAGTTCTCTGATGGTTCTAGGTTACTAGTAGCTAGGTTAATTGCATCTTGCTGCTAAGTTAGTTATATAATGCTGCTAGGTTAGTTCTTTGATGGTGCTAGGTTACTAATTGCTATGTTAGTTATATAATGCTGCTAGGTTAGTTGTACCTTATTGCTAGGATAGTTCTCTGATGGTGCTTGGTTACTAGTTGTTAGATTAGTTGTATCTTGCTGCTAAGTTTTTTTTTTTTTTTTTTT